GGAACCTTGTAGAATTAGCTTGCAATCAAGTTATCCATAGGTGCAAGAAATTTTGCAAGGGGATCCTTAACATTATTATGAAATATTTCGCATGAAAAATGATGTTTTTATTTAACTTTGTGACAAACTAATGCAACATGGTCTATGTCCAACCAAAAGAACATGGATTCATAAAATAGTTAGTATGCTTCTATATATTGTTAGAGATGGGGTGGGGAACAGGATGGCATAAGAATGGCTTCAACATTTAACAGAGACTATTAATAGGCATTTTTAAAAATGTATTTTATGCTTGTAAGAAGCTAGCAAAGAAATATGTGCAACCAAAAAATTGCATTTTTCAAAATTTACATTCAAAAATTTTAGGTGGCTTGCGATATTGGCCATTCTTCAAAGACGCCATAGGAATAATTGAAGGAACACATATCTCGTGCATAGTCAATGTTAAAGAGTAAGGAAAATATATTAGAAGGAAAGATATTTCAATACAAAATATAATAGCCATATGTAATTGAGATACGTGCTTCACTTATACTATGGCTGGATGGGAATGGCTTGCCCATGATGCTCGTATATTTGACCACGTACTCACAAGACAGTCACATTACCCCTAAGGTATATTTCATAATTATCTAATTTAAAATAATTTGTTTCAATAGTTAATTAATTCCTACAATTTTTATTTTTTATTGGTAAGTAAATATTATTTGGTGAGTGTTGGCTATTTAACGTCACATGGATATTTAGGTCTTAAAAGATCTCACAGACATCGCCTCTTAAATTTTCGGTGTTCATTCAGATTTGCAAACAATAATAAGGTGTTCAGTTATTATCATTCAAGTTCAAGGACTACAAGTGAAAGGATTTTTGAGGTTTGGAAAAATTGATTTGCAATCTCACAATACATGCCTAGCTATCTATTTGTAACGCAAGTTCATATAGCTAGTGTAACAATAGCCATACATAATTTTATTAGAAGAAAACTTGTAATTAATTTCCACTTTAAGTATTTTGAGGATACAAGTATGATTAACACTCATGATGGTATTAATGAGCATGCATTTTCATCATCAATTTCAAATGCAATCTCAAATGTGACTTCTGATACAGAGATGAATAAGCTTCATGATTCTATTAGATATCATATTATATATTATAGATCGAAATGTTAATAACCATTAAATATTTAATGAATCCTGAACTACTTATTACATATTTTATTCTAATATTAAACTTTATATTTTTTATTCTTACATTTTTTTCAAACATTTTTAATATATTATATTTACATAATAAAAATTATTAATTATCATAAATTAATATTCTTTTTGACCATTGCATATTTAAAAGTATATTTTAAAGCACAAATTATCATTAATTCAAATAAATTTTAATTAATTAAATTAATTTTTAAAAAATTATATCCAAACAAGAATTTTATTATAATAATGGACTTTCATTAGACTTTTGTCAAATAAATTTTTAACAATTAAATTTTTAATAAACTGAAAATCAAGCACACAATTAGTATTGCTGCGTAAGTTAGCTCGGGCTTTGACTTTTCCTCCCTAATTACCTCCAGCTGTGTCACCCCTAATATATTTAAATGGATTAAAATCAGAACGCGGCTTCCTATACACTAAGGGTGTTCACGGGATGGGATGGAACCAGGACACCCCCGTCCCGTGTCCTGTCCCGAAAAAAGATTGGGACTAAATTTTGGTCCCGTGTCCCGTCCCCTCCCGAAAGTCGTCCCGTCCTGTTAAGAGTCGGGATGGAATCGGGACAAGATCGGGATGTCCCGTCGTCCCGATAAATGAAATAATATCAGAAAAAGATCTGAATAATAATGTTCATTAAAATTTTAAATTATATAATTTATTAAGTTTAAAATCAAAATAACACAAGTACATAAATAACAATAATTTAAAATCAATTATTGAATTATATTAATCACCACTACATATTATAATAAAAAATACAAGTGATCTTTATGTTATAAGATTAGCAACAACAAGCAAGTCAAATACAACATCAAATAATTATTCTTCTACTTTAGTGAAGATGTACTAAGCTAATTACTCTTCTAAAAATAAGCAAGAAATATATTATAAATAAAAGTTATTAAATAGATAGATATAAGAATAAATTATATTAATATAATTAATATATTATAAAAAAGATATTGTCATGTTTACTCCATGCCATTAAAATTATCAATATAAAAACACTTTAGTTTTAAATAAGAATTGTAAGTATTAAAATTAGAATTGATATAATTAATATAAGTATAAATTATATTAATATAATTAATATATTTAAAATAAAAAATAATATATATAATATTCGGGACGGGACAGGACGTCCCGATGGTAATCCCATGTCCCATCCCGTTCCGAACCCCTTTCCTGTCCCGTCCCGATTATTTTCGGGCCGGGACAAGATTCGTCTCGATATGATCGGGACAGGTTCAGATTAAACACTCCTACCATACACATGCAATAGTTGGCTAATACTAACAGAACAATATAATAATAGGAATATAAAAATCTCAGCAAAAGATAGTATAGAAATTAAGCCTCCAGCTGAAAGCAGTTTGAATTTTAAAAGTCCAGCTCTTAATTTTTTAACTGTAAACATTTTTTAAAGTGAAAAAAATCAAACGGGTTCAAATGGATCACAAGGTTCGGGTTTTTTTGGGCCTGGTTCGGGTTTTTTGACAAGGCCCAAAAATATGATCGCAGCCAGCGTTCCCTCTAAACCGTCATTTTGTATTCGCGCTCAAGGCACAATGGCAAGTAGATGCGGGTTTCGCCTTCACCTCGAAATTGGAAGTTCCCTCCCCATCGTCATGATTCCTATCCATGTTCACTAGGTTCCTCAACTCCTCGGTAGTAACGGTCGTGATTGATGCAAGTTTGGATTCAATTCACCTAAATTAATTGCAACCATCACCTTAGGTATGAATTTTCCACGTTATAGAGACTAAGTTCTGCGTTTAACGGAAAGCTAGAGCACTGGGCAGTCCCTGTTTAAGTATCTGTTCAATTTTTTTTTTCCCGTGTACCTCACATACCTGACACTTTGCGTTGTGTTTGGGGGAAAAGATATCTGAAAAAATTTAGACCAATTTTAAATTCTCTCGACGTGAATGCGCCACTAATATTTTATTACGAGAACACACTTATCTGGCATCTGAAACAAAATGACATAATCTCTTATTCAATTTTCAAGTGCCTGGAGAGTCGAAGTTGTTTCCAATAATGTCCACATTGTCAACTTTACTATCCATCGTCACTTGAAAGTTGAAATTATTACCAACTAAATTAAATCGCCAACTGGGATTTCGAGTGGGGTCCTCTCAGTTCACACTAGTCATCATATTAGCAGATAATTCCTCGTTTCCACAACTCGTCAACAATATTCTCTCGTGTTACTAGTCGGATTGGCAATTATTGTCTTCATAATGCATCATTTTCATTTGTTATTTGGTAAGTTCAATTTATAGCCTACAGTTGTTAATTTATGATTCATTGATCGTATTTTTGGCAGTGAAGTTGAATCCAGACTCAACAATTCCTTGATGCATGAACAAGGAATTGGGCGATTATTGGAAGTCGTTTTGAATTGTGATTAAACAATGTCTTGCTGTACGAACAAGTTTGCTCAAACATGAAACAAACATAAAGAACTTCCGGTTTGCAGCTTCCGTTTGATTCAGCGGTAGGTCATGTGTCGATGAGACGAGAAAAGAATAGAAGTAACTGTGACTCTGTTTTTATCCCAGATGCTGTCGGAGTATGCATAATTAGATCTGCTTGGTGTCCTTGTGTCTGTTCTCTCTTGCTTCTTGTACTTACGGAGGACATGCCTGTCTGATGGCCAAGCATGCATTGGTACAATTTGCCTTTGCCTTTTTATTTGAGAACCATTCTCCTGTAGAAGCTTCTCACCGTTTCTTTATTTCTGTATTTTTAAATGGCCTCTCCACCAAGCCAAAAAGAAATGTTATGTTGTGAATCTCATTCTAAGGTGACCCCACCTGCCACTGATAAAGCAGACGACGCATGCACGATTGGAAATAGGAGTTGGGCACACACGTTTGACCGGGCATACATTTTTGCACACTAGTAGGAAAGCTTTTAAGCATGTTTTTACTTTTCGTGCTGTGTGTGTGTGTGTGTTTTTTAAATTACTTTTAAACCGTGATAATTTTCATCACATGACATTTTGTCTGCGATTCATCACCCACTAATTCCTGTTCCAGGTCTGCGTACTGTTGCATTACTCAGTTATATTGATACAAACATCTTGCATATTTGTGATAATTTGGACAAAGTCCTTCTGCCTTGTGATCGAAAACTTGAACTTCTTGCGGGTTGATATTCTACTGTTTGAGAATTATCTAGTCCCCCAAAACTCTAGCAGTGAGAACTATTTTATAAGCTGTTGTCTTTACATTGGAATAATCTAGTCTTTTACTTGAAATTCCTTCAATAATATAGAGATGCATTTAACTTGTAAGTGGAGGCTCATGGCTCACTATCTACGGTGAAGCATGATTGGTTTCTCTCTCCCTAATCATCAATTCTGACAAAACAATCATAGATAAGAAAGGAAGAGGAAAAAGGATCGCTTAAATGCGATTACTTTCTTCTCTTATCTTAACCAAAATGGAGAAAGATGCTCCTCGATCAGTCATCCCATTTATATTTCTCAAGTGGATAGCTTTGATTAGGGCCCCTCCATATACAAATAAAGTCATAATATTGAATTTAGAATCTAGGACCCATTTTGTTAATTTATAAAAGAAAAATAGAAAGAGCTCCTTCCATATCGCAAGTCGCACCCTTTTGGTCCTCACCAACACATGCTCCGTTTATTGGAGCTCTATCAATCATATATTGGGGGAAAAAGAAAAAGAAAGAAAAGAAAGCCACAATAAAGTAGAAAAAACAGAATTCCTCGGAGAGAGAGTTGGTGAATGGTAGCAAGTGGGCTTATGGAATATGGCTACTGTGTATTACACTAGCATTGATAATAATCAAATTTAAGTTTTTACAAGGTCAAAATAGTATACGAGATAAGGAAGCAGAGAGAAAGAAGAGTCAGAGCTAGAGATAGAATTTACAAATTACTAGTCTTGGGAGGATGAAAATAAGTCGTGATATTTAATGCATCTCTCAATTACTATGAGACTGCTTATCTAGTTGCAATGTAGTTCCCTCTTTTACCCTTTAAGCTCCTCGCTTGTCTACAGTTCAAATGATGAGTTCTTTGTCAAAGTGGCATTTGATGTTTCTTTGGTCTTATTGGACAACTTGCTAGACGGGTCTGCCTTAATCAACACTTGAACTACCTCTTTCATGGTCGGTCGACGAGCTTGAGCCTTGTAGGTGCAACGGATGGCAATTCGGAGCACCTGAATCATTTCCTCTTTGTAAGACCCTTCTAATCGCTTGTCTAATACCTCACTAGCCCCTTCCTTGCTGTCGACCGTATTTGAAACCCAATATACGATGTTTCTGTTCTCTCCAAATTCTGCCTCCACAGGCTTCTTCCCAGTTATCAGTTCCATTAAAATGACCCCAAAACTATAGACATCACACTTGGTAGTTGCTCTGGAAGAATAAGCATATTCTGTTACAGGCACAAGAGAAGTAGAATTATTTACTTACTCACGGAAAAAAAAAAATTAAATTAACAAAACTAGAAGATATACATTAGAGGAGCACGATGTTACTAGATTGAAACCAATTTCTATTTTACATTTCCTGGTTCAGTTTTTATGTGGTATTTAGACATAATTTAGCTGTATTATCCAAACTAGCTCTTTTAGCTTCACAAAGGATTTTTTAACTCAAGATAGCCAATAAATTTAACATTAATATAATTGAAGTGTATACTTAGGCAACGTTAATGTAAAAATAACAACATATTTTGGTCTGGCAATTACCTGGTGCCAAGTAACCATATGTTCCCGCAACAACGGTAGATGTGGAGTCCTTCCCTCCTCTTGCTTGCAATACCTTGGCAATCCCGAAATCCGCAACCTTGGGTTGGTAATCAACGTCGAGAAGGATGTTAGTTGACTTGACGTCTCGATGAATTATAGGAGGGAGCAAATCATGGTGGAGGTATGCCAGACCCTGTGCTGTCCCCAGGGCAATCTTATGGCGAGTAGGCCAATCCAAATGGACCGAACCTTTGTGCAGAGCATCCCAGAGATTACCATTTGGCATGTACTCATAAACTAACAAGCTGCAATCCAAACTCGAGAAGTAGCAGTACAGCTTGACTATGTTCTTGTGCCTTATATTTCCCAGGGTCTCCACCTCAGTTTTCAACGTCTTGTCTAAAGCTAAACCATCCTGATCTGGAACAGAATCCTTTAACTTTCGACTCCATAGCCGCTTCACAGCAACAAATTCACCGCTTTTTAACCCGATCTTGTACACTATCCCAGACCCTCCATGCCCCACTCTATTCTTTTCGACCATGGCCTCGACGATCTCCCGTTGGTCAATTGTAATTCTGTGAAAGTTCTTCACTTCACAAGAGAAGAATGGCCATGTTTCGTCATGTTCCACCGCAGCTCTCTCTTTGCTACACCTTCTTTTCAGAAACAAGGCTGCTCCAGTTATGATCAAAACCACTGAAGTCCCTGCTACCCAGAAAGTGCTTAGCCTCTTCTTGTTGCCAGTCTTTGAGCATGTGGGAAAACTTTGATCCGATGAGTTGGCATAGACGGGTGAAACGCACAGACCAGGATTCCCTGAGAAGCTTTCGACTAAACCTCCTTTTATCAGCGATGGAGGAATTGGACCAGAGAGCAAGTTATTTGAAAAGTTGATAGAGTTCGGTAGCAGATCAGAAAAACTTTCAGGGATGCTACCGGTCAAAAGGTTGTTGGAGAGATCAAGAACGTTGAGGGACTTTAATAAGGACAGTGAGCCGGGGATGGAGGAATTCAGCTTATTCCCTTGCAACATCAGCAAATTAAGCTTTTTAAGATTACCGATTTCGAAAGGTATTGGACCGGACAAAAGGTTGTTACTGAAATCAATCTTGACAAGATTGGTGGCTCGAGAGATGGTAGGCGGTATAACGCCTGAGATCCTATTCTTCTGTATGAATAGTTCTGACAAGTTTCTAGGATTTCCAATAGTCTCCGAAATTGGACCACTTAAATTATTGTTACTCAAATCAATTATGGAAACGTGCGGCAGACCAAGGAGTCCCTCGGGAATTGAGCCCACCAAATGGTTATTGCTGACTCGAAACCTCAACATTGTCCAGCACTTTGCATAACTCTCTGGTAGCTCTCCAGAAAACATATTATCCAGAACAAGGAAGTACATCAGTTTACCTCCATTGCAAACCTCTGTTGGCAATGGACCAGACAGTCTGTTCTCGGATAAATCAAGAACTACCATTCCTGAAAACTGACCCAGATTTCTTGGGACTTCTCCGGTCAAAAAATTGTCATAAAGAGATAATATTCTTAAGGTTTTTGAGTTTGCTATCACACCTGGGATTTCTCCTGTGAGACTATTGTTGTATAGCTGCAAGACTTCAAGCTTGGGAAGACGACATACAGATTCTGGAATACTTCCCGACAGCTTATTGACTGACATGTCCAAGTCTCTGAGCTCCGTGAGATTTCCTAGCTCCTTTGGTATATTGCCAATAAGTTGGTTATAGTAAAGCTCAAGTTGCTGCAAGTTTTTCAGCATCCCAAGCTCTGTAGGAATCTTACCCGTGAGGAAATTCCCACTCAATTCAAGATCAACCAGAGTTAAAACGTTTCCTATGGATGCAGGGATTCCGCCACGCACCATGCATGTCGTCAAGATCATAGATTTGAGTTTTCTCATCCTATAGATGTCTTCTGGCAGCTCCCATAAGTTGAAACCGGGGTTCTCATTGAAGTTAAGCACCTCAAGATTGGTAAGATTAAATACCGACATGGGAAACTGACCTGTGAAGGAGTTGTATGACAAATCCAGGATCCTTAGAGATTTCATAGGTGAGAAATCTGGAAGGGTTCCTGTATGGTACACGTGATTCATGTTAAGCTCTTCTAAGTGAGAACAGTTGATGACGCTATCAAGGAATTTTCCTCTCAAACGATTGTGGCCGAGACGTAGAAAACGCAACTCTGGCAGATAGGAGCATATATCTGAAGGGAAATTTCCAGAAAGTGACCAACCGGAGATGTCAAGATTGGTTACTTCCCCTTGGTTGTTGCAGATTACTCCAGTGAAGTTACAGGCAGGTTTTCCTCCTGTGACGTCCCAATTTAGCGGGTATTTCCCCGAGAGGGAGTTCTTCATTAGAGAAAAAAACTGTAATTGTCCGTCACTGATGGCTTGTGATGCAAGAGAGAAGGAAAATAGGAGTCCGAAAAGAAAGAAGATGGATTGGCGATCCATTTTGAGAGGACAGAGAGATGGGTCCGTACACTGGGAGTTACGGTGAATGTTGCAAGGAAGGAGATGAGTGAGAGATGTATATAAGACGGAATGTTTTAAGTGGATCGAAATGGGGCAGCGTGCATTAACAAGCCTTGATGATCAAAAAGCAGGTTCTAGCTGTTGCAGAAAGAGAGAAAGAGAGAGGTGAATATCTTTGGTAAAGAGGCTTTACGGTTATACTCCACTAGCTCACTTGAAGAATAACATCAACAGAAGCACTTTACGCTCACAAACGCAGGACGTAGAATAAACTACATCTGACCTTAATCACCGCATGTTTCAGTGACCAGGGCCTCTTGATGTGATTACTCTTTCTTTTGGGAGAAAATCATATTTATTTTCCTCCAGGTGCGATCGATCTTTTTCTCTATGATTCCCACGGAAAATCTGAAAGATATATCTGACTTTTATTATTTTAGGTTATAGACAAACAAGAAAATACACTTGTGCGTAGGAGCAAACTAAGTTCATTTGTATTCTTATTAGGGTGTTTATTACTTAATTGTATACACATTCAAGTTCATCAATCTCTCTCTCTTTCCCTCCTCCTCTTTCTTTTTGCCTGCAGCCTTAAAGTTTAAACACTGAGAAATATAAATCCCGTCTTTTTGCAGTTCAATATAAGGTAAGAAGCATCATAATAATAATTTAATCTGTTTCAGAGAATTTTCTTCGTAGGGGGCTGGGACCATATTGTTCCCTATTTTGATCTAGGATATAGGGAGGGAGGAGGGACCATTTTTCTTTGTTAACGTGCTTGTGGGTATGTGACCCTTTTTCCCTTCTTTTTCTCCGAGCAAATTTATACAGATAGCCTGTTCTGGGCAAAGCAACTGCAATTTTTGAGGAATAGGAATAAGAGCAACACGGATTGCTACAGTCTACTGATCCGAGGATAATGATCAAACCAGCCGTCAAACCAAACTTGGGGACCGTTGTGGTTGAAAACCAAAGGAAGGGCTTTGTTTTAATCTCAGAACAAGTGAGGGTGGAGAATAAAGACGCTGGGATAAGGCTGTCCTTTTCTTGTCTCTTTTACCCTTTGTCGAGCATTTTTCTTTCTCTGCTTCAAAAGCATTAAAGTTGTGAATCCATTTTTTTGTTGATTGAACAGATAGAGTTGTGGCCGTAGTGGGTTTAGTTTGGAGGACGCTGTGTCAAATCTCTATATTTGGTTGCAGGAACTAGATCCTTGTTGCATCGTGGTGCTTTTCACTGTAAAAGATATGTATTGGGAAAATTGCTGAAAAATATTTGACCACAAATTCAATTGCTCATAAGGCCTTGAAAAGTTTTCTGAAATCAAGTCCTTCTGTGGCATAAATTTGAGGTTTCAAATGACTAAAATACCCCAATCATATCCTCTGCTCTCTCCTCCCCAATGCAGCATTTGGTACCTCATCATCGACGACGAACGATGGTGAGGCATGATGTTCTCTACAAGTCCTAGCTTCACACCTTTAAGGATCCCTCTTTACATTTTATCTTTAACCTTGAGACCCATTTTGATTTTCCTATTGAGTTTGCTCAAGTCACTCTAGCATACCCCTTTTATCAATTTCGGTTTGTCTTCAACCTCCTTACACCCTGTCTTCAAGGATCAATTCTTTGATTCAATCAGTTGCTCGAGTTCCCAGTGGATCTCCAAGTGACTCTCCTGCAGTTGCCATCGCCACACCTTCCTTCTTGTAGGAATATCAACTTGATAACTCTTGTTCCATGCTGTATGGTTGCCAAGATGGGCGTTGCAACTTTCTCTCTTGACTCCGTATATTCAGGTTCATTTCTTTTTATTGTGCTTTGGTGATTGGATTTGTTTTCATTGCAAATTTATTATTTTCAGGTTCATTGCAGACTCACATAAGATGAAAAAGTCACAAAGGTGAAAAAGAAAAAAACTAAAAAAATAGAAATAGATGTAGTAGATAAGAGATGATCATAAAAAGAAACAACTCAAAATAAAGAAGAAGATGGAAGTAACAGAAATCAAGAAGAAGAAAGAACAAGAATTTGAACCATAATTAGCAAATTAGCAACCAAAACTTTGATATCAATTTTGATACTAATCTAATAGGAGACGCGGAAGAGGAATCGTGTTGGTTTAGGGATAGGACCCTGAAACATAACAAAAACACAAGAACAAAAAGAAGGGGACAAAATTTATGATGAAAACAAAAAAAGAAATGAAACAAATAACGGGATAATGATCAAGAAAAAGATCATCTAGAGCACTGCTTCTAAAAACCTCAACCTTTAAAAATACCACAAAAGTTGATCACGCTCTTGATTACGTCTGTTTCTTACATGTGATGTCACCACAAAACATTAAGGCTTACAAGAGTTATAAACAATAAAATAAATAATTTCATTCAACTTCTCTTCTATTTACAAGAAGGAGCATGCTCAATATATATAAGCTTATAAAGAAGACTATTTTCTTAAAATTAAAACTCTAATTTCATAATACTAAAAGGATAATGAAAATAATATAAAATAAAAAAATATTTAGCCACATAATTTAAGAGATATAATCATAAAATTATGGGATTACGAAACTTAAAAAATAATATAATTAATCCTAATTTTTTACTAGACTCAAAATAAAAAATTATGACTACTCTTGCTTTTTAAAAAAGGGAGTTAAGTCAAAGGACCACTAAATTAGGAGACAATTGAAGGATTATAAGGGACTCAAAATCACACCATCCTTAACTTTTTTATTATGATTTCATGCCTCTGTAATATCCTCCTTCTCTAGTCCATGATTAACTTCAAATTTCTATAGTTAAAGAGATTGGTTTAAGGTAAATGAAATAATGTCAAATTTGCAAATAGGTAAAAAAGTTGGGATCTCAAATTTTTAAAAACTAAAACTATCTTCAAAGATTTTGAAATAAATAAATCAGAGTTTACAATTATATGGAAGCATAGAATTATTTCAAGAATTAGTGCATTTGCAAAAAAATTAGAAAACAAAGTGATTTAGCGAAAATTACGATGTGTGTTGCTGCTCGTTGAACATACACCACTATGCATTACATGATCCATGACAGCAGAATTTTACTGTCAAAATGACAGCTTTTGAGGCAACTTCTAATGCATCCTAAACCTCCGTCCGATGTCCGATTGACGAGAACTAGGTGTCTACAGGAAGTTCTTTCTTAGTCCTAGTTAAATGCTTGGGTTTCATAACAAAATTATTACTCATTCAAAATTTGAACACTTTTTTTAAAACTTACACTTTCACAATATTTTTCACAAAATAAGGTATCCAAATCTCATTTCACAAACCAAAAGCCACAAATACCATTTCAACCACATGCCATAGACTAAGATGGAACTATGCAATACACCATCTTGCATTTAATACATATAAATCACATTTTTTACGCTCAACTCCTAAATTTCAAAAACAAAAGGGGGAACTAAAATTTTTCATTTTATCAAATAATTCATAAATATCATACAATATGCCCAACTCTTACTTGCATTAATATTTTGACCCTATTACAGGTATCACATTTTATAAACTTACTCTCTAGGACCCAAAATATACTTACAACTCACAAAACACATAATACAAGAACAAAAAATGGAATATCCCTAGTTGGTAATTTTAATTGTCACATACACATGAAAACTCAAAATAAAGAGGCCTTCTAAATAGGATTGTAGTCTTACGCCTCTGGTTGTTTTTCTCTAGCCGATCCTCTTAAGCTATTCCTTATAATGTTGAAGATAGGAGGGTGAGTACAACGACTCAATAATCAAGGTCCAACTAACTCATACTAGTGCATGTTAATTAATCTAAATGCAAGTGATAAGTTATAAAACAATTTCAGAACATGAATATGTTCAAAAGCATATCTCAACTCCGTGGTTCTTATCAATACACACACATGACTTAGTAATCAATAACAAGTCATAAAACGTGTTTCAAGAGTTCAACTTCATTCCCATTCACAATGATACAACTCATAAGATATTCATTAATTAAATGCTACTTCATAAAGAATAAGGCTTTCATACATTTTTATTTTACTAGGATCACAAAGTAACAACCATGTGCCCTTTCACACTAAATGTATGATCACACCTTCCTTATATCCCCTTTATTTTTCTGACATGAAACCGTGGATTATAGCACACTGGGATAGTCTATAATTTAGGACTTCCCTAACCTAAATACTCGTGATGGGTTATCCAGCCAAGGTTTTTCCCAACTTACTTGTGAAACACGATTTCTCCTATTTTTTCACACTATGGGGCGTCATTCTTCCTAAACTAGCTTCCTCATTGAACTAGTGGATAGCAAGCTAAATTCGAGTCCCTCGTTAAACCAGTGAGATAGCCCCTCGTTGAACAAGTGGGACAATATGAATATAAACAATCCATGCAAGCTATCAACTCAGATGGGAGCCTTACCACATGGATTTAATTCTCTTCTCTTCTTTCTAAGTAAACTCCTGCCTCTCATGATCATGCGATGTATAGATATGCACAATTTTTTAAGCATGCATCATCATATCATTATACCCAATCACATACATGATAATTACTTATTATACACAATCAAATCATTAAACTCCACCACCAATTCATTAAAATTCATATTTTCAATTAATCATTGAACTATCTAAATATAGTTTCATTGAACTCTTCCATTACAAGGTTATTATACCCCATCACAACTCAAAATCATTGAACTCCAAATAAAACAACTCATTAAACTCTATATTTTCATAATCATTGTATCTCACACATTCACAATCATTGAACTCCATAATTTTCAAAATCATCGAACTAAATTAGTCAACCACCTCATAGGTTTTTTAAACAAAACATGTCACATTTGCATTTCAATCAATCTCATACAATTCAATTATCAAATGCAAATCAATAAACTAATTAACACAGAAAAATAAAAGATAAAATTTTCCTGATTACCTCAAACCTTTGAGAGGTTAAAGGTTTCATCTCTCAAATATTTACTCCCAAAGCTTTTAAGAAGCTTGAGTGGTGTCAAAATGATTTCTCTACAATCAATCACAATTAAAACTCATCAATATTCACCTTCGGACTAATTTTCACTAGGAACTTAACACTTCTTCATGCTCAAGATTCATTTTCTACTCATATAAAAATACCAGTAGGGTTTTTAGCTTCCTTTAACCCTCATTAACATCATTGAGCTCTTTAATGATCATTAATGAGATCATATTGTTTCCAACTAACATATTTATGGGAATTTCACATATTTATTGCTCCTTAACCACCAATCTATAAAAACCTATAAATACCAAGTTTCTTTGGCTCAATCTACTCCCATTAACTCTATTTAAGTTAATAGGTTCAGACCCATAACCTATATGGATCAAAAATCATCATTATCAACTAAACTTTAACTTCTAACATTAAGAAAA